TTTTTGTAAATATATGCATATTATATATAGAAACCACCCAGACCCAGATATATATTATAATTATATTGTTTTGCTTTTTATATTTGATGTACATATTAATTTATGTAATTGTTATATATTTTTGTGAGAGGAACAATAAAGAGTTTTCATTCATTCATTTAGACCGATACAAACAATCATACTCATGAATACAAAGTTTGTGCCGTGCGAGGAATCGAACCCTCAACCATCGCACGTAAAGCAGCGTGCTAGACCGCTAAACATCCGAGGTCATCAATATACATATAATACATATAAGGACGCTACCATTAAATTGAAAATTCCTTTATGAAACTACTATTTTCACTTAAGGTTAGTGTTCATTTGAACATTCTTTAATTACATACAGTGCCGCATGCAGAGCACGCTACACTTGGAGTTCTCAAACTATTCAAGGCTCTAAATCCAGTTGCCGGTACAGTAGTATCTAGCACAACATGCATACCCATGTAAATTTCAAGCGAAGCAGGGCCCTCGTTAATTTGAGCCTTGTCACGGGGCACATCCCTTTCTTAGTAAGTCGGTAGGAGCATCGTCGCCCGTTTCCACGGCTGCTAACGGCTTCTTGGCTCGGAATTGCTCTACGTTTATCTTTGTAATATCGATTTGAACATTCTACGTACATTTATTTGGAATGTTCAAGCGCACAAATGTTACTAAGCATTTTTTATAAAATACTATTACCTGCAGCTAGAAGACCGGCAATAGGTCTAGGATGCAGACGAGTAGAAGTTTCCAATGGGAAGGCATTCTACATGCTTTATTCTACATCGCAAATATACTCGGAGAAAAAAATACTGTTATCCGAAATTGGACAGTCAGAGGTGTTATCAACTGTGAGTGCCGTGGTGTACGCAATACTTGACTTATCTTGGTGTCGCTGAGTATATTTGAATTCAAAGTGAGGGGAGGCAAGCCTGACTCTGTTACTGGTAATTTTGATTAAACAAAATATATATTTACCTTTTTTGTATTTTATTTCATGAGACTCATTTTTAGAAGTATTTTGTTTTGTCTTAAAAGATTTCCAAATCTTCTTGAATTGCCACTAGTTAATTCTACAAAACTAAAAGATCTAATGTGATATATCGTTTTAATAAATTATATTTATCGACAGTTTTTTTTATCAATAATTAAGTAATAATATTCTATTACATAAGGTAAAGTAATTCTGTACTGTAATTACTCATATCTATGATATCAATCATTGTAATTTACTTGGAATTGCAAGTTTTATTTTGTATAAACCTCATATTGTAAAGAAACTGATTAACTGCGAGACGAACATCCACACCAAGGGTTCCAGATAAATTTATAAATGTATGAAGGATTTATGTATTAGGTTATATATTTTAATGTTTTCACAAAATCTTTGTTGTACATTATATACTTTTTGCTTCAGAAAATACAGAGATGATACATGGAATTTTACGAAAAAATTGAGAAGGGTGTAAAAGCTTTCATAACGTACATAAGTACAGCGTTTTTCATGTGATATTCAAATAAAAAAATAAACAGATAAAAACTAACTAACCATACCCTATTCAACTCGATATTTTTCCTTCAAAATCGAATCGGCTACACAATAAATGTTTATTATAGTTCTCTCGGAATGTAAAAGTACAAACAAAAGGAAAAAAAAATTAGATAATACGAACAGCAATGGATGTGAGATACCACGGGTGTTAAAATAGGTTTCGTTATTCCTATAGTGCTGCTCAAGTATATGGGCGACACGCCGATGTTACATAATAATACATCCATACTAAAATTATAAATTGTGCAAACATATGTCTGCCTGTTTCTTACTTTTTTACGACTAGACGACTGAAAGGTTACTAATAAAAGACGCAAACATAGATAGTCCGCCATAGTGGTTACTATGGCGGATTATTTACATGTGTATAATTATCTATAGAAGAACCAGAAATCGCGGGGTGTAGTTAATTAATAATAGTACTACAGTGTAATTAGTATAAAAGCCTGCATATTTAACTCATAATATCAATGAATCATTATTCAATGAATTGGCGTTTAGTATTCCATTGATTCACTAACATGTACTTTATTCATTATCCCACGTTATCATACCAATGCTATTTTAGCAGTAGTTGTAACTAGTTTTGGGTAACGAAAAAATTCACAATTTGCAAGATAAGATAACATTAATAATAATATCACATTTTTAAGATTATTTTTATAACGATTATGTAAACCAAAACATTCGTACTTTGCTTCAGTAATCAGATAAACTTAGATAAACAGCTCGTGTTCTCAGCACCTTGAACAGGATGTAAACCGTTAGATCTAATCGATTATGATTTCAATAGATAACAGATACTATTACGTATATCAAGAGTTTGGAAACCTGTTTTAAATTGGATACATATACCTAAAAGTCCGTATTAATTTGGTAAGTTTGTAGTAATTGCATAGTTCCAAACAAAAACAAAACCTAGTGGTTTTGTTTATATTATAACTATGCAATGTGTGCAATCTACTTTAAACAGAGTACCTCTATCTCACTTATTTAAGCATCCAAGCAACTTGCTTTATGAGCTGTACTTTGATAAAAGGGTGAGATATGACAACAAAATGACAGGGATTCGTACTAAATCTTAGTTGTCCGTTTTAAAAACGCGTTACGAATACGATAGGCGTCAGTGTTGCTATTTGCGTATATAGGCGACTATCTTCAATTATATTCATGTGAGTACTCAGCCAAGTTACAATTTCAGTTATATAAAAAAATAACTATGACTGAAAACTTCGGCAAAGAAGCTCCTTGAGAAACCACGTGTGACTTCAGTACGCAAGAATTCAAAATATACCAATAGTTTTCTTAGTACCAAAACTTTTCCCTTCGAGTCAATGATCTTGATCTTAGTGAAGATATTTAAAGAAAAATTATATAAAATATCTGTCATATTGTGATAGGAGTTACTTATTATTTTATGTATAAAAGTCGATGGAGTTTCCGATTATCAGGGCGTACACTGATGACCAAAAAATCTGTCGAAATACTCTAAAAGAGCGTAAATATATTTCGTGGCTATAGTTTTAATTAATAAATATATTATATATTTGTGACTTAAACAAACATTTTTACTATCAATGTACCTATGTCGTGTAAATTTACTAAATTAAAAATCACAAGTTAGTTGTTTTTATAACAATGCATGCATGAATCGCATCGATTCTTGTTTAACTTTAAAACAATGAATAATATTACTCGCAAAATAATAAACATTCCAAGTTATTAACCTAATTATTTAATATAGGAAAAATATAATTAATAAGTCTGATTCATAGACGTTGCATATCCTGAATTTCATAGTTTAAAGTTATAACTTGATATACATTATTTTATTTTTATTTTAAATTGTTGTTATTATATGTTTGGTTTGCAACATTGGTGGGTATTACACATAGTTATAATTTAAAATAACCTAATAATGTACATTATATGAATTACTAGCTGTGCTCGTGACTTTGTACGCGTGGAATAGTGACCTTGACCAAATAAAAAAAATATGTTTTAATTATACATATTAATTAAACAGATTATAACCCAAAAAAGATTCACCATTCTACTTAAAAATGATATTATTTTCATACAACCTTTCATCTCCGTTTTCAACCCGTACTATATGTGTAATTACATATCTCATACAGTGACGTCATAGAAACGACATATTTCAGAGGACACAAAAGATTTAAAAAATTAACACATTATTCGTAAGCAGACTACTTGAGATGGAAATGGAAAATCCGTTTTAGGTCATAGTCCATAATACATCATACTTAAATTGATTACAATTATTACCACATACATCGTACTATAAGAAACTAGGCTCTAATCAAAGCGGAATAAAATATTACTATTTTCATATTGTCGTATACTGGTGTAAGTGTTTTGTTTCTTCGAGTCTTATATTGTGATGTGATAGAATTATTCTAATTGTCAGTGTACAACAACAATTTACAAAATGCACACAATAATAGTAAACACATTTATTTAGTTGAAAATGTAAAAACCATTCTAATATCACAGTCCATCATTCTATTTTCATATCAAGGGACTGTTGCGCCCTCACTCTTACGTTACGTGTGTTCTAGTAGTCGGCTCTTTTCTGAGACTGGCAAGGAGTCGCTGCGTAGATACTCTATCACTACACGGAGAGATCTATGTATGTAGAATATTGTTATTGACACAACGGTTTGTTATAGAGAGAGTGAGCTTTCCTATTTCTAATTTTCTTCCTTTTCAGATCATCATCAGTCTAAACAACAAAATATACAGTGATATCGGCTTACTAACTTTATTTTTTTGTATACACATTATTAATATAGTTAATCTAGTGACGGTAGTCGAGTAGTAACCACGGTTAGTGCAACCTAACCTAACCTAACTTAAAACGTCGAGAGAGGTAAGAATCTACGACAAAAATATTCGTGTTATGGCCCGATTAACTATATTATTATTAACGCTACTGACTTATTTCGGCAATACCATAATAACGTTTGAGTTATCATAAATTAAATAATAATAACACGGTTTGAAGAAAATAAAGCTAGCACTAACGCACGGGAAAATTTTATTTAGCTCAGTACTCGCAATGCATCAGGAACATGACGGGTTACGTTCTAGATTTATACATATTCTAGGATCCATATGATAGTCCATATGTTAAACTTTCGATTAAGCGATATCATCTTCAATGCTGTTCTCAGAGTGTAAATAAAACGTGTTAGTCCGTTAAATTCACAGTAAATATTGAAAAAACTCTATCATGTGTTCCATAAAAACCATTTTTATTTATGTATCAAGCCACGTATGGTTGGATTAGTAGATCAGATACAATGGAATAACGTTTTATCGTGTCCGCTTACTCAACAAAGATACATAATGTCAATGTTCATTGACAGCCGTGAATTTATACGCGTCAGACGTATAGTTGAAAAAAAAAATGAACTGTGTTAATTTACGGAAGAATTAGTGAATGCGTTTTCATTAGTATACACTTGTGATAATGGCTATGCATTTATATAGGTAAGGACTGTTAGATTAAATGTCATTACTTTGATATTTTTTGCTAATTTTAGTAGGTACATATTTGTAATAATATTTTAACAAAATATTATTAATCAAGATTATTAATTTATATATGTATAATTATTTTTAATTCAATCACAAATATATAAATATCCTTATTACGTAATCCACATAATATAATGGCATTGTATAATTTCGTTATGTCAATTAATTACCTGTGATGAATCACTAATTACTATTGTATTGTCCCGTCACATAACGATGGGAACATCAGATTTTTTAGTTTTCATAAAAATAATTTTATACACGTTAACATATTTTTATTAAAGCAATGATATGAATATGATGTTATTGATAAAATTTAATAAATCGGAAACTTATCAATATTATCTCGAGTATCGTAGCTTTGAGGTAATAATATTGTATCATAAGACCCCATAGGTTGTGAGTTAAAATATGGTAAAAGCAAGATTATAGTATGCCGCTATAATATGATACGTATAAAGAATACTATCAATTCTGTTGGTCTTTTTTTATAGTGTGCAAATTTTATTGCTTACGTAGTCAATTTTGTAGGTTTTATTAAGATACAATGCAACATACACACAATAAAATGTAAAAATGTAAATCTTCCTTCTGGTAGTTTGATAAAAATGCCGAATTACTGGCAGAAATATCCACATAGCTATTTGGATTAAAAACTAAAAATTTTGGAAATATCTAGTCACACTTAAAAAGGTATAATCTAAGATAACATTATGAAAGGATTTCGCAGGAAAGGAATATGAATGACAATAGCTCGTTAATGTTTAAATGCCGAATCTGGTGTTTAATAGTAATTAAATAGTGAGTATATTCATTCCTATTTACGTATTTCCGTTACTGTATCCGTCACGGCGGATACTGTTACTGTTACCTACAGTTAGGAATATTGTTGTTGTATCTTTTCATATTTCCACAATCTACCTGCGGTTTCCGGATAAAGTTTATAAAGGTCGAAATAAAATAAAAGAAACAAAAAACGTAACATGCGGACAATAAACTGTCTAAAAATCAGAATATGTCATTTATACATTTTAACCTAGCCACAACGGTATTTGTTTTTATTTCTGAAACAATTAATCATAAAAATAAAGACGTATCAAATAAATTATCTTAGTAATTATAGATTATAATTAGATAATATTGAATTATTTTTTATATGTGTTTTGACCTTAATACAATCTATTTACTATACAGAAAAAGTGTGAAATTAGAAGGAGTAATAGACTAACAGATAGGCGCACTAATTAAACCGCTAGTTTAGATTTAGCCCATTGGTTAATGAAATATCTGTAGTATTAATAATAGGATTAATACATATGGCCCATGAAAATCTAATAAGCGTTTGTTCATGTTATTGTTTTCCTCTTCATATTTTTTTAATTATATAAGTGAGAACGATACCCCGAGACAGTTTATCTTAAGAAAAAGTTAATAACATGCAATGTAATTAAGAAATATACTTTATAGAGAGTAAAATAATATAATTATGTTTTTATACAAAAAAAATAAGAAAATATGATTCATTTGTACATCTTAAACGCGCATGATAGAAAAGGTTCAAGAAGATATGACTGAAATGTGCTTTCTAGCAGTCCGCTCAAAAGTTACAATAATAGAGAGAGTGTAGAGTAGGTAGTACTGAACTACACAAGTACTGAACTTATGAAATAATGTTAACAGTATTTATATATTTCTATGAATTTGTGAGTAGAGAATAAAGCATAATACATCGGTGCAGTAGAAACAAATGTCGATATAAACAGGTGTACTAAGCTGCCTGTAGGTAACCATTATTATAGTTGAATTGCAAATTGTTTCCAATACATACTGTTCTTACTTAGATATTTCATATTTCTAGTATATCTTCATATTTACTAGCTCCACTAAATAAAAATTAGGAAAGACACGAGGATACGCTTTATGCAGTTCTTTTATATTTAGAAAAATAAACATGTACAATTAACATTTTTGTTTAAACTTTTCTTGTATTGTTAATATCATTAATGTAGTTAGTATAATGTATATAGTAATGTAGATATTCTACTATAAAAATACTAACACTAAAAGCATACGTAAAACATGGGATTTCGTTTCGAATGTATTCACATAAAGCTATGTCATAATTTCCCTAACACAACCTTTGTATGTCGTTGTGTACTCGTAAAAACCACGAACGGTCTTTGACCTTCTACTATAGAGATAATAAAATATTAGTAGTGGTTAGTTCCGTTCAATATCTTTTTGATGAAAAAATATGTTATTATTGCCTGTCACAATACGTGCGTACGTAAAGATTAATCTATTGAAAGCACGTGTTTACCATAACATGTGTTCATGTATATTTAAGTTTCCAGTAAACTATACGAGGTATCTTTAAAGTACTAAACCTAAATATATTATATAAATATTTTTAAAATAAATACCTGAGTGATGGATTGGAGGTCTTTCTATACAGATGAAACCTGGTGCTTAAATCCAAACGCTATCATAGTACAAATTTTTCATTCAAATTCCAAAACATATTAAGATACAATAATATTATAAATTTAATATTTTTATAAATCTAATAGATGATATTAGATGCATAAAAGATTAAGTATTTTTTATTTTACTAATGAGTTTGTATGATAAAACATTTTTTTATACTACTGACACCTGTTAATTATGTTATTCAAGTTTAACATTAACACACAGGATAGTTACAAAGAAATAAACATAATATACTATATACCGCGGGAAACGCCATGATAGTTGTTTTAGATTTAATAGTACTATCCATAGCTAAATGATAGGAATAATTATTAATTAACATATCTATTATGTGAATATTTATGTTGCTCCGATTGTATTATTATGATGTACCTATGTACGTCACTGGCACGAGATAAGAGGGTCGAATATTGAACCCATTTTATCACTGACTCACCCCATTAAGATATTCATCATTGTTATTTAATATAAATATTACGCTAATATTTTTTATAACATTTTTTTAACAGTATACTCTAATTTCCTTGTGATGCGTAGAAAGCATTTCTGAAAGAAATAACTTGATTGAAATTTTTTAAGTTGTACATTTATCAGAGATTAGACAACATCGTGCCAATTTATGCTTTAGTGGTTTCTGTCTGGAGCACGAGGTTTCTTTAGCTAACAGTCTTTACATTCCTATTACCATTATAATTATATACATACATTAAGTTTACATTCAATAATAGTGTGTAATTTAATGCTTTTACTTTCATAAATATTAACATTATTCTCTATTTTACTATTTTGCATATTGCATGCAACACCAGTATACGAATATCACGCACAAAAAACTACAAAAATAGTCTCATGAGAGCAGAACAAATATTTACTGCTCAGTAAAAACTGGATGTCACAACATAAAAGATAATTTATTTTGCAAATTCATAGTACATGTAGTAATATAAATTTGCAAAATTTCACTCATATATAGGCACTGTATACATAAATGTAACTTATTCCTTTCCTGACATTCAAAAAACTATAAAATGTTTCCCTTAGTTACAAAAGGCGTATAAAGTTTCATTTTGTGGTGAACATTAAAACAGTTTCAATTTGATATTTTTTCGACCTATAATTTTAGAACGAATAACCATATTTTTGCTTTTAATCAACGGATACTATTAATTTTAAATGCATCTATTTGTCGCTTCAACGTATAAAAACCTACTAAAAATAATTCTACTTCTATCATATTCTTGTTGCAAAATTTAAAACTATATGATACGATAATATTGGCTATTATTAAGGTTTCCTTTTGTAATATTCTATAAAAATCAAACTGTTATCTCTCAACATGTAAAATATCATATCCTAATTGAAGTTAGAAATAGGTAAACTAAACTAAAATTATAATTTAGGTAAAAAGTCATATAACAATGCATTATTGCTTCTGTTCAGTAACGTGTTTCATTTGGGAAATATAAAAGCAACAGCCTTTACAATAAGGTGTTGCGCCTATCTAGCCAATTTTGTAACGGTCAAAGTGATTTATGAAAGAAATAGTTTCTTGTTACGTAGGTACCGTGAAAGTAATAAATATTACCAGTTGTAACGTTCTTCTACTTGAATTATGATAGAGATATAGTTTTATTAATCATAATAAGGTCCGCATGAAATAGATATAAAGCAGTTGGTTATATGAACAGTGATTCGTATATTTATCATAAAGGTCTTCCATAATTAAACAAAGATTATTTCTATTCTATATTTAGCATTTCTCGTATTTCTGTCTAATAATATAAAAACCCTAACAATTTGTACTTCGATAACGTTTCGCTTTTCAAAGGTATGTACGTGACTTCCTTGTAAAAATGCGATTTTGCAAAAAATATGACTGGCCCACGTACTTATTAGTACTACGTAAAAGTTATTACTGACTACCTTATTACTGACTACTTATACTTGGTAGAAATACATTATTGCAATTCATTTTCTTTCTCTTTCAGATCTTACTAGAACAAAATAATACAAATCCAGTAACAAATTTATTATTATGATTAGCCATTAAGACTGTATAATAAAGCAAAAATGTCAGAAAAGACCAATTTGGAGTCAGTTCCGAATGTGAAGAAGGTTACTAAATTAATACCTCCTGATGGAGGATGGGGGTGGATGGTTTTGATAGGGACAGCACTTTCTAATGTAAGTATCTACATAAAATTAGTTCATATAACCTACAGTAATTTAGATATATGGTCCTCAAAGAGGTTGTGAAGCTATTTTATTTGTACATTCATACAGGAGTACATTCACACTGTTCATTCGATTCTATGAAAGTTCACAAATCGAAACACGTACCAGTGTAACAGTTTGCATATTAATGATTTCATCTGTATCTTTTAAGATTATAAATAGATTGTTTACTTGGTGTTAAATTTGTACGCTCTTAAATTGGTAAAATGATTTTCTTGATACATTTACGGTATGAAAATATTTATCTACTATCTATATATATTTAAATAATTTGATTCCAACATATAATTTTTTTAACATATAATATTTATATTTGTTGAAACTAATATTTGTATCTTTAAAAATATGTGAATATTATTCGATTTTATTTATACTTTATTAATATGTCGACTTATTTTTCTTATTAAAATGTCTATTGTCCGCTACTGCTTATTTTCAATAAACGTTTCAATCTACTGATAATGGAAACATAACAAGCAAAAATATTACTATCATAAAAATTATATTGCCATGTGATTCCATGTTAACGATGCGTAATATCTATTTTTAAAAATATATATATGATATTAGGTACAAAAATAAGTAACAAACTTATTCTAATTAAAGTAATAAATGCAATATCTTACACAATTAAACGTTTATTATTATTAAAATTAACAAATAAATTTTATACTTATGAAATGCAGTGAATTTATATCAATTTTAATGTGTGCAATAAATATATTAGTAAATACTGGTGCATTAGGGCCATAATAACAGAAAAAAGATATTATTATCTTAAAAAAAGTTATTGCTCTTGACTTTATTTTCTAAATGACAATTTTGATAAGCTTTACGTGAGACAAGGTTTTAGTCATAAAAAAAATATAATTACTAACCGCGTCTGCACATTGTATATATAACATGGTATATGCTAGTGTATTTGTTTACATTTCAATATAAACTAGATCAAAGGTTACAAATAGAACTCTCAATTTTGTTTGTTTCCATAATAATATAACTGATACAGAAGTTATGTTTATTTGATACGTAACTGTCATCAAGTATATTTAAATTGAATACTTACACTAGGCAACAATTGTCGTTAGGATCTACATAGATTATGAAAGAAATATCAACGATCCTATTACATTTATATTATACTAATCAAAATACCATGCACTTAAAAGGCTCAAAATACCTTGGGCTTAAAAGCGACGATCATATATATTTCACCCTGTTTTTAAAATATGATTTATAGTGCATATTTATTAAATAAATAATTATTAAATGTACAAATTAAAGGTTATTTGTGTAAATTATAACTTGTGATACCAACTATTACTATTTTTTAGTAAAGGGTGAAATAATACAACTGAAAATAGGATTTTGATAAACATTGTTTGCTGCTTTATGTAGCTACTTAATCCGAAGGTCATTTTGTTTATTATGTGTAATAATAAAACACTTTATCAGTAGATTGATACACAATATAATATTAGTATCAAAACGTAGATATATATAGTGTACCGTAATGATTGAAAGGAATGGTTCGATTCGATTTACTACTAGTATTTTACAGATTTTAGTTATAAATGATATTTTATAGTTATGGTATTACATTACGCTTGCTTTGATGATACAGAAAGGAACAACAAAGAATTATGTACAAGATTTTCTTTTAGTCGAATAAGCTATAATGTGTGACACTTTTTTGTAAATACATACATCATATACATATAAAATATTCAGACCCATACAAATACTCATAAACATTTTTTAAAATTAATATGACATAATTTACAATTTCTCAACTACTAAGTCACATATATAAGTCAATATTTAATGTAATATAGTCTTACTCAATTGTGCATAGGCGGAAAATATTACAAAAATTTAAAGATGTTGGTCTCTCGTTATCGATAACTTCACAGGGCGAAATGAATGTGTGAAAATATTTGTTTTCTTTCGTAGTAGTGTAATAATAATAAGTATTACTGTCACACCCGCTATACTCCTCATGCATTGCCATTCTAGAGAAATAAGATGTCATGTGTCTTATCCTGTAGTTTCATTTTACTAGAAGCCACGTGACCATTGAAAGAATTTAAAATACGTGTAATATGTTTGATAACCTTTAAGTCTTACTCTTACAGTTATTAAACACTCTAGTAATGATTTATGCATGTCAATTATACGTAGATAGTAAGTTTAGTATTATTAGATACTGATAAAGCTTATATATTTTACAGATTTTTAATCAATCTATGCTGTCCTTGTTCAGTTTATTATATGGAGATGCATTAGAGGCTATGGGTCACCGGACCCAAGGCGCCGCCGTAGTGTTAAGTACTATGTTATTTGTAACAAATTTTGGTGGCCCTATAGCTGGCGCAATAGTAAAATTATCTACTCCTAGAAAAGTAGCATTAATAGGAGCATGTTCGTGTACACTAGGCATTTTTCTCAGTGGATTTTCAACGAATATATGGCATCTGACTATTACTTATGGATTTCTTTTAGGTAAGATACAGTTTCAAACTCAATTTGCAATTGAAAACTAAGTCAAGTTTTGTTTTTGTATATGATACACATCATAATTTTGTTACAGGTTTAGGCTTGGGTTTCATTCAAAATTCGTCATTTGTAGCTATAAATAGCTATTTCAAGCTCAGAAAGAGCCAAGCAGTGGGTTTGGCAAATGTGGGAACAGGTGTGGGACAGACTTTAATGCCTCATTTAGTGAGATATCTCTTGGAAAATTACGGTTTCCGAGGCGCATGTTTACTTCTGTCTTCTTTGAGCTTGCATGGGGTAACTAGCTATCTATTTATATTCCTGGTCTAATATTTTATTAATATATTCCAGCGTATATTATTATACGCATTATTCTTAAAGCTATTACATTTTTCCAAATTACTGAATATTGAATAATATAATTACTATTATAGATTTTACTATATAGGTGATAGCGAGTTATTCGAAAGATAATATTTAGTATATTATTGTTTGTATACAATCTTAAGTTCTCATGTAATTTTTAATTTCTGAAACCACTCATAGTAGCGAGCAGTGACTTTACCTATATTATATAGAACATAACAATAACAATTTTTACCAATGTTATCACATTTCAGATAGCTGGATGCTTACTAATTCATCCTGTAGAGTGGCACATGAAAAAAGTTGAAGAGGAAGTCGTTGTAGATGAGAGGCTACAGTTATTAGAAGATAAACATAAAAATATAGTCATAAAAAGAGATTCAAAAATCCTTGCCGAATTAAACGCAAATGGAGAAAGAAGACCCACAGACCCTAATTTAAATGAAAACCTTAAAGAAATCAATGGCACAAGAAATCGTAAATCTGATAGTTATAAAGAGATAACATCTGATGTGAATGATATAAACGGTAAGTTAAAGAATGTTCTAAAAATGTTATATCTGTTGAAGTGTATATAGATATTTTGTTTTCGAAAACTTCGTAAGAATAGAGATTGTACTTTACTAAATTTTTGTTGTAGTTCTCCCATAAAAGGCAACTAGAATTGAGAGTGTAATTTATTGACTACCTTTCATCTCAGTTTGCTTTATCTATACTTGTATATTCCAGTACAAATACTATACTAGAGGTAGATAATAATTAGTGGGTTATATATTCATTCAGCTATTATCTCTTACTAGAAGTGACTTTTTTAGTTTTTAGTTAGTATTTTTAAAAGACTTCACTTCGTGCCCTGTCTAAACAAGAGATGACATACGTTTGCACAATAATCTTATTTATATGTTAACTTTGATTGTGTTGTTTACGAACTGCAACTGTCGTAAACAATATCAATGAATATTATTTAATGATATGGATGACATCAATTCGTATACAGTTCATCTTCTTTGCACATTATTATGTTATCAAAGTACGTATTGTTACCTTTTGTTGTGTTTGACCTGCTTAAATAATATTTAGAAATAATATCTCTTAACAAGTATACCTTATTAATGATAATATAGGTAATTATTGATTTAATTATGTCACTGTAACATACATATAACCAGCTTTTGCCCGCGGCTTCGTTCGCGTTAATTTATCCCTTTAGAGGTGAAATTTATAAAAATTCTTTCTTAGAGAATACCTACGTCATAGCAGATCTATGCATGCAAAGTCTCAGCCCGATCAGTTTAAAAGTGACAAAGTTTATTTTATCCCCTTGGGGGTAGAATTAATCAAAATCCTTTTTTAGCGGATGCGTAAGTCATAACATTTACCAGCATGCTAAATTTCAGCCCGATCAGTCCAGTAGTTTGGGCTGTTCTTTGATAGATCACTATGTCAATCCTTTACCTTACCTACCATTGAGTTATATATATTTAGATTTATGTATAGTATGATGTATGATGAGTTTATGTAGATTTATGTATTTATGTAGGTACACATATATACAAGCACAGTATTGATTTTAATACATGTATTCATAGTTATATAAAAAACATAAAACTATGAGCCAATTTTAAAACATACAATGAACATATTATTATTAAACAATTATATTAATATATTATTCAATATTAAGAATATTATATAACTTATTAGCTACACGCCCTGGCTTCACAAGGGTGTATTATACATATAAACCTTCCTCTTGAATCACTCTATCTATTAAAAAAAAACCGCTTCAAAATTCTTTGCGTAGTTTTAAAGATTTAAGTATACATAGGGACAGACAGCGACAGCAACTTAGTTTTATACTATGTAATTATTTATCTTTAAAATATAAACAAACTATCTTTTCGTGTCGATCGAAATTAGGAGAGAATTAATACTTTCTTGTATCAAGTCTTGATTTGAAAAGAAATTGAAGTAAAATCAAATTGTCTTTCCTATGATTATATTATATTTGTGTTAATTTATGTTTATTTTTCAGATAAAGCAACTACAGAAGTACCCGAGAAAAAGAGTTGGTTAAAGAAATTATACGATTTATTCGATATCTCGTTATTGTCGAGTCCTCGCTTCTTGAACATAATTATTGGAACTGCGCTGTCTGTGACATCAATACAGAACTTCAGCATGCTGTTCCCGTTTTTCCTACAGGTAAAGGATAATATTTATATCATTTGCCTTTTTAAACTCTGATGCAAAAAGAAGGGTGTTTATAAGTTTCACATGTGTGTTTGTCTATGGATCGTAACTCCAAAAGAAATGGACAGATTTTATTGCATTTTTTTTTTGTTAAAAAGCTAATATACTCGATATGGTTCTTAGCTATAATGAATGGGCTAAATTTTTTAGTTTTATTATAGTAGGTAACCTACCTACTATAATAAAACTAAAAAATTCACTTCATAAACTAAAATCTTCGTAAAATTGTATGTCAAGAATTTCCACGTGTTCTTTCGATTTCGATATCATATATAATGATAATAATAGTATTGCGTACAGATAAGAATTTAATTATTGTAAACAGATTGAATGGTTTTTGATTATATTGTAACTTGGTAAGCAATTGTCACCTAGACGTTGAAAATAATTATACTTATACTGTGGGACTAGTACTCTGTACCTAGTTACTTAAATGACCCACCCTCCTTGGTCCTAGAATATGCACAAGGCAATCTAAGAATACAGTGGAAAATTACAATATATGAAAAAATATAATATTATGGAAAATATCATTCATAAATTTAACTAAATATAACTTTTATACGATAATATAATCAATGTATAACTTTTGCTTATTTAATTATCTTATTTTTAACTAAACAGTGTCATTTTATAGTTATTATTTCTTTTTTAACAGAAAGTAGCCGAGTTAGATAAGCAACAAACAGCATTTTGCATGTCGGCGATCGCGAGTGCGGATATTTGTGGCCGTCTTATTTTGCCGGTATTCCAAGACAAGTATAGGATAAAAGCAAGATGGATGCTGATAATGACTTGTGTTTGGCTGATTATCACCAGGCAAAGTGAGTAGAATGTTACACTAAACTTTCAAAATTCTTCTTATACGTGTTTCTTGAATAGTTGTATACACTTAGCAACATTTAATCCGTATTTTCAAGGATCATATGTGTCACAAATTTATTTAAAAAATGGTCTATAATAATAATTTTAATAAGTTATATTTAAATTTTAAATAATTTCTGAATTTTTGTATGTTAAAAGCATTATCCAACATTAGTTATAGAATAACGCTTTTTGCACATAAACTGTTATGATTATAGGTTTAATTTAGTCTTTATATTCAGTGGATGGATATTATCATCTATGTTTCTCTCTCGTACTAATTTTGTGGTTGTCAAAAATGTGCTTCGGTCTACAGAACCCGTTTTCAGTTCAGTTCAGTTTTCAAAATGTTCAATGCAAACTATATTAATTTACAAATGTGCCAATATCTTTTCGTAACCAGTTTATCTACATTATATACTGTGAATTGTTCCTAAGTATATTTCTTACGATATCTACAAACGAGTGAGATTTTTGATAAAAATATTGTACTTTGTCCGTATCGTAATCATATTTAACAACAAAATCTAAGATGACCTTGTACTTTGAATTTTGAAGATTAATCTATTAATACAATATAATAAAAAAAAAACATTTAACAACAAGGCTCTATTTTACAAAAGTAGTTTTATTTCAATATTAATATTATACATATTATACAATTTAATTATAGGTATCCCTATAAAGTCTTACGAAGTTTAATTTTCCGATAGATAATAATTTAAAGTGTATTAATTCTGAAAAAAAAAAATTTAAAATGTATGGTGTGTATTCATTTGATAAAATATTTCATCAATCAATATAGTGATGCATTTACCTTTACACATTTGTATACCTATTATGTTCACTGATGCAACGAGTAACAATCATAACTATTTTCTTTTCAGTACTGGCATACCAAACAAAATTCGAGGTGTTGATCTTGATGTCCTGTCTTTACGGATTTGGTAGGAGTATGGTGATAGTAGCTAGAAATATTGCGATCTCAGAACACTGCAGGGTTGACCAAGTCCCTGCTGCTGTTGGTCTTGGAATGTTGACGATGGGTATTATTGTACCTCCTGCTGGCTATTTCCTCGGCTGGATCAGAGACTACACGGGCAGTTACATTGTGTGTATAACAGCACAAAACTTATTTTTGGTTGTGTTGCTTGTAATGTGGATACCAGACATGTTACTTTTATATATAGCAGAGAAAAGAAATCAGAAAATTGCTGTAGAACAAATACAGATGACTTAAAGAATTGAGTACTGGTTTATAATTCTGCAGACTTGATACAGAAAAGTTTTTTAGCAATATTGATAAATATGCAAAGAACTTAAAAAGTATGTATCCAAGATTGGCTGTGAAGAAATTGTTACAGGAATATAGGATTTTATTACCAGCTGTTATTTTTATGACGGATCTTAATGTAATATATAATAATTTATAAAATAGTTAAGTAGCAATTCCGACTTGAATAAATAGCATATATGCTATTACCTACATTTGTCAGTGTTATTTGTGATAACTACCTAGTCTAATATATTGTAGGTATACAAGATAAATGTGATTTTATTTCAAACCTTCCCACACATTAAAATTAAGGGTGAAAAGTTATTTATGATGATCCTATCAAATCAAGTGGTATAATTTAATTGTAGCCTAGGTAATAAATAATGGATCAATGTTAAGGTACTTCTTTTTATTGTGATCTGTAAAAATACTAGAATCATTTCTATCCTCAAATTTTAGAATAAAATTCTGTAATTGTATGTTTTGAATTAATTACTATTATGAGATAAAATAATATTGTACCGAGCGAGTGCCTGCCTATAAATTAGAATTAATATTCTTATGTCACATGGATACACCATGGCCTATTATAGATTAAATACCAAACCTCATTCAAATTCATTTAGGCCATTTAGCCATTACGTAGTTTCAGTAATTACTATATACACAACCTTCTAGTATGGGTAGTAAAGTAGTAATAAACCTAACATTGAGGGAAAAAAGATTGTTAGTCCATAGGGAGTGTGCAGTTGAATGGTTAATTCCTGGTAAATTTACTATATACACATGGGCTGACTGACTATCCAGTGTACCGTTAGTGCATACATATAATCAATGATGATTATATAATAATAAAGCTCAATATTAATCGAATTAATTTCCACCACCGCCAATACATATTTTATGTTCGTTCTCTTCATAAATGTTATGCATAACGAGATTGTAATATATAAGAAGCTGAAGTGAGCGATCATACCCAAAACTCTCATGTTTAATGCAAACGTCGACGCCCTTGTCGCTTACAGACGACCACCGGCTTTACTAAACGCCTTGCAAAGAAGCATTCACGGCAAATGGTTCATATAGGTCAAAGGCGAGACGTTTGGGGCCTAAAATCGAGCTTTCCTTGAATTATAACCGAATTTTCTTGTATTACTGCAGCACCGTCGCTGTCAGCAATTCTTAAAAGAATAGTCATATTCAGTACTATTCTGATAACTATTTCTGTATCTGGAGACAAGTTTCACTAGAGATAATATAGCATAGATTTAAATTATTAACCGGGTCTTAACATGAATAATTTTATGGCAAATAAAGGTATTTAGCCGTGGTCACAAGCTGACTGGAGTAACAGCGATGTCAATGTAGATAGGTGACAGCAGTTTTTTCTTCATCTACCGCCACTAGATTGTTTAACGAAAGTTTATTTGCCATAAAATTATTCGTGTTAAGACCCGGTTAATAATTTAAATAATGTATATTAAACACGAAAGTTTAAAATTAACAATAACATGGAGTTTTTAAAAGCTAGTGTAATACGTTAATGTAGACATTACATAGAATATAGTGACACAGACATTTACCATCAGATAAGCCGTAAGTTACCGTAACAACTACTATTGAATATGAATGCAATTGTTATATGTTAGAAATATTAATTCAGGTATGAAAATAAATATTTTTCATATATTTATTTTGTAAGAGCGGCCGGTAGAACCAAAATTGTATAGCAGGGACGGATTACACAATATAAGCCGGTGGTTTGCAAACAGTATATTGTTTCTTCGCGAACACTACTTTCACGTTGCTTACTCAAGACCGTTATATGGAAATGTTAGATAGACATTCTAGAGAGTTTTGACTAAAAACAAGGATTGCACATTACATTCGTTACTATTGTAAAAGAATTTACATTTAGCCAACTGTAATTTAATTTACAAGGTGTTACCTAAGTTTGCATAATTTAATTGAGAATAAAATATAATTTGCATAATCAAATTAGACTATTTTGCAATTTGTAAATTGCAAAATAGTTACAATACTCTACGAAATAAATGTATATGAATTATTATTATATATTCTTACACTTTATAAAAGTGAATAAAATAACAATTTTATTTTAATGCAGAAATATTTACGCGTCACGACGACACGACACTATTAATAAATATATATTAAATTATATTTTATTTCATTAGTTGTTATTTTACGGAAGTCCATTTCATTACTTAATTTATGTTATTTTCTTTAATGCCGCTACCATTAACATGAGTGGGACTAAAACAAATATTCAATGTGAAAATGTGACCACACTGTTGACTGCTCGTGCTCGGCGGCCAAACTAGAACTCTTAGAACAGTCAGTACTAGACTTCCACACTATATCCAAATTTTATTCATTGCCTGATGGTAACTTAAAATAAAACACGTGTTCTAGTGGAATTTGATCACTACTAGTGATCAAATTCCACTAGAACACGTGTTTTATTTTAAGTTACCATCAGGCAATGAATAAAATTTTGATTTATATGTGGAAACGGAATTTACCAGAATAATTTAAATCGGTTAAATAATAATATATTTAGATAGTAAGTAAATTTATTTTATAATTTATCTTACAAATAACCAATGCTTTTTTTGTAAACACATATGTAGGTAGAAAGAAAGGTAAAATAATTGTGCGTTATTTATTAAAGTTGTCGCTTGAGTTTGTTTGTGCTAGATAAGATAAGAATACGTGTGAAGTATAAATATTTTAGATAAGATATCACTGATGGCTACTCATGTCCACCTCTTCAGTTGAAACCGATACTTATTTGTACCTTAAAAATTGTATTTTAATTGTTTATACACTGATTCTTAAGTACACAATAAAAATTGTTGATAACTGCAAATATCTAAGGAATAATAAACATCATGGCCTCTAAAAGTTTTGTTGCATAAATAAAGATAGTAAAGTTTCAGCATATCGTTTAGTTTTGTATAAAGAGGAGAAAGTTTTATTTTCGAGAATTTTCTCGGCGTAACTATCAACAGTTAAAAGATTCGAAGCATAACTTGTAATGACTTTGTTGATAGTTTCGTTCCATACAAGTAGGGTCAGTGCAGTGAGGCGTTGAGTGTAAGAACACAATAAGATAATACCTCCACCGACCGTTAAAATAATATTACACCTAGTGACGTTATACACTAAGGTCCCAGGGAGCATCTTTACGTTACCAAGGAAAATAAAAGCACAGTCAAAAAAACATCAAAATCTCATTAGTTCCCATTTCATGCCGAGACGACACTACGGAAGCAGTATAACTAATGTACAGTAATAAACAGAGATGCGAGATGTCGTATTTCTTTTTATAACTTCTCTGTACCGTCCATTTTCTGGTTTAAAAGATATCTACAGAGTGCTGAGGCGGAAATAACAGTTGATATTATGAAGTGTTAGAGTTTAAAACTACTTGCTGATGGAAGATTAATTTAAAAAGGGCTAATACTCTAACAATATGAATGAGAAAGTAAGTCTGACCGTTGCGATTTCACGCTTTAAAGTTTAAACCCATGATTGTCCAATTTAGTATATAACATAGGTACATACATATTGGTATAGAGATGAACTTATTGTGCAGTTAGTTAAATATGCAATATTTGAGATAAAAAAAATAGACATAGGCTTCTTTTTATACCGGCTGATTCACATAGATGAAAGCGTGGTCAGATACTTGTGCGTATTTTTATTTGCTTTGCACAGGTAGATTATTATACACATAATAGCGATTTAAAATTTTTGACACTTTTGTTACCTCATTTTTCCCATCCAAATATTCATGTTCGATTACTTTTTAGAAGAAAATCTTTTCAACGACACCTCGGTTGATAGGATTCGATTACTTTTTCTCATCTTTCAACTTCCCTGTAAAGTTTCATGACGATCGAACTTGAGCTGTGAAAGTTATGATAGTGTGTTGGACTTATGTATATTTATACGATCCCATTATCCTTAGACAAGGTTAATTTAATTTCAAATATATTTTAAACTGTATATAAACTTTTTTGAGTTTTATATTTATGTGAATGAGTATCACTGTTTCTCTGCGCACTTACACTGGTGTTATGTTATGTGTATGGAAAAATGAGATGAGTCCCTGCAGATTGTATTGTTTTTAACAAGAGTTAATAGTTTACAGGAGAAACAGCGTGACATATTAAGCAAAGGTTTTAATTACCCCTATTATTAACAATTCTCTCCCCACTATATTCATAGTTAGGTACCTTATTTTATTAAGAGCTACGAGATCCCATAAAGCACTTAGAGAGTTTGAAAATGCAGAAACGGCCCGAGTGAGGTTTATGCTTCATTCAATGAAAGTTAAAACATTATTGCATCAATAAATTTCCTGTTATGATTACAATCTTTGCTTTCGCTTTAATTTTAGCAGCACTGTAGATGGAGCAAATGGAATTGTCTTGCTTTTACACTGCGAGCATGACAATCTCAATTATTTTTTTACGCGAATTGCCATTCTCCTTTCTACCCTAATATTTTATTTAAATTTTATTAAATAATATTTATTAATGATTGGGAAATATTAGTTATTGGGATTGAATATTTAGTAAAGTGCATCTTTAGTAAAATAACTATGTCAAACCTAATAACACGATTATAAAATAAATGAACATATATTGAACCACCTGCTTTAATCCTGACTGCTTGTTATTATTTTTAGTTCTCCTTCAGTGATTTTGTATGTTAGGAACAAACAAAGGGTAAAATAATGATAGATAAATATAACTCCTAATAACATTATTATATAAAAAATATATATTTGTTAGGACGTCGTGAAATTTATACAAATGAAATCTTTAATCTAATTTGAGACAATTAACTTACAAATACAAAATTTTTATTCGTTTACAATGTATTGTATGTTAATAATTTTATACAAATACATATATTATGGCCATAATCGGTATACAATATAATATCACAAAAGATAGAACACCTATGTAATAATTTTAAAAAGAATTTACTACTTTGTGTCCAAGTTTAGCTTGATTTTTGTACCTGAGCAACAAGAACATACGAACTAATACACTAATGTGACAGTATAATGTCGATAAAATGAAATGTTGACAAAGAAAGGAGTGTTTGATCTTTTGTCGGGATTCCCGGTAGATTGTGATTATTTTCCCTGACTGGCAACTTCTAAAAGAATTCCAAGAGGATTAATTACCTGAAACGGCTTTGTAAGTCCTTTGTCTAAGCGATGA